TAGCTGGGCTTGGATTTGGACCAACCTATGTTGCTGTATCATATGCCCTGCCTCCAGCTTCCCGTTTTATTGTAATATTGGAGCAGGTAGGTCCCTACCTAGTATCTTTGGATATATTGAATCTTGTTCTGTAGGTCAAAAGGGTCCTTTTTCTTCTAAGGAGTCAACTGTAGGTTTTATTTATTAAATTAAGCCAAGGCTATTGACAGAGTTTGTCTTTGAAATCAGGCTTAAAGGCAGCAAGTCTATTGAGAAAAAGTAGATAATAAACTTGATTTTGACCTGGAAACTGGGTTTTTCTTGCCCTGTATTTAAGATTTTACTACGTTGGTTTTTTTCTGTCTAAAGATACTTCAAGGCTGAAATTCCATTTATTTCTAGTTGTTTTGCGGATGCTAAATGCTTAGAACCAATTCTAAGAACCTGTTGTGCCATATTTCCCAAGCAAGCTATAACATTCCTTGTGTGTGGGTTTTGGTTGGTTTTGGTTTTCTTGTTGTTTTTTTAAAGGGCAAGTACATATTCAACAAGTGGCTTGTGTTTCCTGTTCTGTTCCCAGAAAGCAACTCTCTTTGTTTTGAAGTCAAAACTTCATTGAAAGTGACATTTTATTTTTTTGAGGGAAGGGAGAGAGGAGAACTGATCAGACCATCAGACTAAAACAAGGATGGTCAGCCATGAGTGTAGGCTTGAAGAATTAACTTGGGACTAGCCCTCCGTTTGGCCCTTCAGGGGCTATTTGTGTGGCACTACATTATTCCAATGTGGTGGTAATTGCTGTAGAACACCTCTAGCTTCATGGAATCAGTTTCAAGACTTTAGAACATACTGGCCTATTAAAATGGATAGGGTTTTAGTTTTTTCTTCAATTTTAAGTTAATGTTTATTGGTTAGTGACTTACTGGTATGATTTGGAGTCTTTGCATATGCTGTGATCCTGTGACTGTAAATAAGATAAGCTTTGACTCTCTTGAGTCATCATTGTTACTGCATTTTTCACCTTGAAGTGTTTTAAATTTGTCAGTTTAACAGGCTTGTGGGCAGAGGAAGCAGCCATTTCCTTGTAAAAGGGGTAAATTTGAGAGAAACCAAGATGGTGAAGGTGTTGCCTTAAAATGCCTGATCCACTCTTTATTGAGATGTTGGGAAAGA